AGACCAGCAGCAATGCCACAAGCACAATAACCCAATCCAGCCTGCTGCTAGGGCCATGGTGCCGCGTACAGCTCGAGTGCCCTACGGTGCCAAAGCCCACGGCAGGGTCACCTGGGGCCTCTCTCGGGATGGCTGCCTCTGCCCCCCCATTCAGCATTACCCGGTGCTTACGAGCGACCTGTGGGCCAGACTGTGCCAGCAGCTGAGGCCGAAGGCAGAAAGGTGAGTGGCTGCATTAAGATTACACGGCTCTGAGCTTTCCTCCTCCCCTGCCTGTGTCCTGGGCCCACTGCACAAGGGGGAGCACCTTTGCAATGGAGCGAGGCCAAGGCTGGCTGTCAGGGCTGGCGATAGGAACGGGGAGGGGGCAGCATCAAGATGGAGTTAGAAAGTGCTTATTACTTAGCCTTTCAGTGCTTCCCCTCCTCCCTGCTTCTCAGGTCAGGGCACCTGGTTGTGTCGGGTCCTAATGTCCTGTCCACACCACGCAGGAGTGCCAGATCCCCTCTCATCAAGGTGAGGAAACACCGTCTTTACGGCTGCTCAGTATGGTCCTGCCCTGCCTTAGCTGCTGTCATACAGCTGCACACAAGCAGGCAGCATGGCCTGTGCCCTGGGAGGCAGGACCCTGGCTCCTATTCCTGGCTCTGCCACTGATGCAGGCAAGTCTCTTCCCCAGCTGTGAAAGGGGGGTACGTGGACACCTTGGGAGATGGGTGCTCTCCCAGGGCAGTTAATTATGTGCTGTCTATTCCAGGGGTTAGCACCGTTTGGTATCTTCACTGTGGGCCCCACTCCGCCAAGAGCCTCCGTCACGCTAGTGTCTGCCGCCGGCTGTGGTTTTAGCCCCACGTCCTCTCTAGTGCCCAGCCCTGGCTGTAGTCGAGCATCCCTGTGTGAGGATACGTGCCAGACAAAGACGCAAAGTGCCGCTCTGCGTAAGAGCGTCTGTGCCCAGTACAGCCAGGGCACTCGGGGCAGCGTGGAGAGAGGCAAAGGGATGTTGAGGGACACATGGAGTGAGCCTAGCCGGAGCGGGAATGTAGCAGGTAAAGAGCTCACCCCTGTTCTGCTGGCTGAAGAGCCTCATGCAGGGACCCAGCGATTGAGGCAGAAGGAAAGCAGGGCTTAGAGTTTTGGGAACAGCCACCCAGCCTGTGCAGAAGGGGGTTTGAGAGGCCCTGTCTGCTGAAGAAACACCACAAAAGCCCCTTAGGCCCCCTCCAGCTGCCACTCCCTGGCCCCCAGTGGGTGTTGGTAGGGTTTGAGGTTTGCCCCATGGAGAGCAGCAGCTAATTCTGGCTCCTTTGCCAAAGAACGGAAGGGCAGTGAGAGGCCAGTCAGCGGGAGCCTGCCCAAGAATGGCTGCCGGCAGCTTCTTTGCCTGCCCTCTACTCTGCCTGAGGAGTACTCAAGTGGCTTGTGAACCCTTCCAGGGCCTGCAAGGGTGGTTGTAGCCAAAAACTGTATTTCACGCTGTGTCCCGGTGAGCTGGGTGCTGCACCACTCCTCCAGCACAGAGCCTCTGCCATGAGCTAAGGGGACACCAGCCCCCAGCCAGTTAGTACCTCTGCTGAGCAATGCAAGGTGCTGTGCTGGGTGCTAAGCTGGGGGCCAGCTGCCCTTGCAGGGGACCCAGCCCCATGGAGTATTTTTGCATGTTGGCTTAAGTCCCTGTGCTGCTACTGAGCCAGGTTTAGTGGGCCGGGGGTTCCCCTAGTCTGCGGAGCTGCAGGGCAAAGGCTCCAGTAACCACCCCCATCACATCCAAGAGGGACAGGGGTCTGAGCTGAGAGCACCCCCCCACCCCGCAGGGACTAACCTGCCATGGCACCAGGCTGCCAATGGCTGGGATTCCAGCAGCTGGGCAGTTACCTCAGGAGAGGGGATGCCCCCAGCTCCCAGTGCTGTAAGCAGCACAAGGCTGCTCGCTTTGCACCCCTCCTTGAGCTAATCACGGCGGCTTTGCTCTTGTGCTGGGTCCAGTCAGCTCTGTTCCCAGACTCCTGCGCTTTCTTCTGAGGGAGGGCCCCTGGGGATTGTACTCTATGGGCTTCTGGAACAGGTGCCTCTCCCTGCAGCCTCCCCTCCCCTCAGGTGCTAGGAGGAGGGAGCCTGGCCTCCCTGGGCGTATGTGGAGGCCTGAGCAGGGCCCTGGCTTTGGATCTAGACCACAGGTATGTGCTCCCTTCTGGGCCTGGGAGAGCAGCTTCCACCCCTGCCTCACCCAGCAGTGTTCCCACATTCCTTGTGTCTGGACTGGCTCCTGGCTGCACCACAGCTGTCTCCCCAGGCCCCAAACCTTACTCCAGGTGACTTACTCCATTTAATACAAGGTTTTTAGGAGACTTTTGTAGCTCTTTGGTATTCACACTTATTGCTACCATTGTTTGTAAATTATTTATTTTTTACCTGCATTTTTTCATTTTTTAAAAGGTCTGTTTTTATATCGCAATGGATTTGTCATAATAAAGAGATTTGCACACAGGAAGGCTGGGGGTGTTTCTTGGGGGGGCAGCTGCCTTCTTGGCCCTAGAAATGAGTCCCCACCCATGGCAAGAGCAGCTCTGCCAGGAGCCTGGCTTGGTAACTGAGTGCCTCCCCAAGGGCCATGTTCCTGAGAGGCAGGGCCACCTCAGCCTATGCTCCTGCCCCCCAGGCTCCTGCAACTACCCATGCAGGGCCACTTCCTCCCTTAGCCGTGCCCTGCAGGGGCCCGAGGGGGGGGCAGGGGGCTCACCGTGGAGGTAGAATTCCCAAGGGTTTGCTCCAGTAGCTGAATACCAGCTGACCCATGCTGCTGTAAAGAGGACTCAGTATCCCTGGCTGAGGCAGGGTCGCTGCTCCTCTCCCCACCCCATGGCGCTGGGAGGACACAGAGACAGTGCAGGCCTACTGACCCTCCTGTCACTTTTATTCAAGGGGCAGGAAGAAGGAACACAAAACCAGCACAAAAAGTCAGTTGGCTCCTGGCTGAGCAGGAAAAGTGATGCCACCTGCTGTCTCCACCAGCAGCTGGGTGGTCGGGGTTACACCAAGGGACCTGCTCATTGTTCCAGTTCTGAGCACTAGTGCCAGACCGAGGAGATAGGGGCGCCTGGATTCCCTGCTGTGCAGGCAAGGTGGTAGGGCTGGAGTGGCTGGGCCTGAGATCTGCATTCCCTGAGGAGTGCGTCACAGAAACACAGTGCTCCACCACATCGAGGAGGATGAGGGGCTGCTGGCCTCCGAACCCCTGGAGTCTGGAACCCAGCAAGGCTCTAGGAAAAGCTGAGACTGTGCTAGGCCCCAGTTTGTTGGCAAGGCAGGTGGCAGGAGTATGGCTGCACTCTTGATCTTCTCTCTGAGAGCCCAGGGTAGGGGGTCAGGAGAGAATCAGCACCACCGCAGCCTGGCTGTGTTGTTAATGGGAGATGGCAATGTCCCATTAGGAAAGAGGACAGCTGGGTTCGCAGCCATGGGGCCAGCTGGCCTGGGGCAGGGAGTTGGGTTCGGCCCCAGGGGGGCAGCTGCTTTGGAGGAGACTGGGTTCATGCTCTGGGGCTCACCCACCCTGGGGAAGGGAGTCCGGTTCACACTCTGGGGACCAGCTGCCCTGGGGAAGGGAGATTGACCCAGGGGACCAGTAGGTCTAGCATCCAGCATAGCAGGCCCCTGTGTGATGGGAGCTGTGTTCATGCCCAGGGAGCCAGTTCTTGGAACTGGAGCTGGGCTCATGCTTAGGAGGCCACCAGCCCTTGGGCTGGGAGCCAGGTTCATGCCCAAGGGTGAGCCACCCCCTGCAATG